TATTATTATTATTATTATTATTATTATTATTATTATTATTATTATTATTATATTTGTTATGGCGTTACACGACTCCTTAATCCAGTGATGATACGCGAACACCACCAAGAATGACTGTGGTGTTGATAACTACATTATCACACACACACCACACACGCACACACGGTGTACCTCGTGACTGTGTGCCTCGTGACTCAATCCTCGTGACTGTATGCGCCATGTGCCAGAGTTCGTTGAATCGTAAGTAATCGGGTGTACGATTGAGTAATAAGTATTTCGAATAACTTATTTGCGATCATGTGTGGGCCAGTTTTCGATGGAAACGTCTTTTTCTTTCTTACCTATTGTGCAATTGCGACGTTAAGTAGTCCCCACGTTTCTAATGTAACTGTGGTTCTCGATGCATTTCCGAAGCACTCCTCGAACGCTGTTCTGCTAAAGGAGACACGTTCCTCGCAGCGGCGCACGTTGGCTTTCCTATCGGGACGGTAAGACGACACGACGCGCAAGGATTGATTGCGAAATATTCACATAGACTTTCTCCGCATGCGCGTTCTGGCAATAATGCCGCTGCCCACACAAAAGGCAAGAAACATCGCCAAGGTGTTGCGTGTCTTGAAATTTTTTGCGTTTTCTAAAAAAAGAAAAAAACGCTTATTGAAGAAGCGAGTTGGACTAGTCCGTGCGTCTTTCTTCACTATACAGACATAATTGACTATCAGTGCAGCATCCTGTCAGTTGTATCCGCCCTGTTCACTGTTTCTTGCGCTAATTAGTTATGTCTGTAGTCTAAGAACTTGCTTGATTCTAATTGTTCGAGATTCTGTAGTCTCTTTGGGTACATTTCATTGTTTTCAACAAAAAAATTTAGTTGGAAGTTGGCGCTTGTCTGTGCGTTTTTGCTTTGTACCAGTCGTTGAGCTCTACGCCATTCAAGTCTTTTAGTTTCGGATGAAATGTGGTCACATATATATATATTGTCATCTGCGAGTAATCAAGTTTATCACCAATTATTTCTTTCGCTATTTATTAAAGTATGTCACCAATGAACTGTTACTGTCCCTGCTTTTTTTTTGTTTTCTCTATTGTGAAGTTAACCTTTGCATATTTCGATAATGTGTGGTCCTTGGTGCTAAGCCTGAAGGTGCGGGCAAAGCTATTCTAGCACCGCTACCGCGTTTTTCAGGGAAGGCAAAATTAGGAAAAAAAAAAAAAACGCGCGTGTACTTATGTGGTCAAAATTAACTTGGATTTTCCCACTCTGGTGTGCTTCGTAACAATATCGTAGTTTTTCAACGTGATATAAGCAAATGTTTAGTGTGTGTGGTAATATTTTCTGGCGGAAACCCGAAAGGCCGAAAGAGCCCGGGGCTTCCAGAAAACGCAAGCATACATACAATGACATGCGACAAGTTAGAAAGAGAAACAGGTCGGCGAAACATTTATTACACGACTGTACAAATGCGGAGGAGGGGGGACTACGATGTTCTATAGTTATGGACAGTGCGTGTCTGTTTACGCGCAGGCCGAGGGATCGAATCCCGGCCGCATTTCCGGCGGAGGCGGATATTTTCGAGGCTCGTGTTCTGGTATTTGGTGAACGTTAAAGAATTCGTGGTGCTCAGGATTTCTGGAGCCAGCCACTACGGCGTTTCTCATAATTATATATATTGAGACATCGAGCTCCACCAATTAAATGATTGCGCTTGAAATGGTGCAAAGACGCGCTATTCGCTTCATTTTCAACAAATGTAGGACCACTCAGGCTCACCAACTTCTCTTGAATGCTGGCGAATAGCATTTCAACCCTGGAAGATAGACGAAAAATCGATAGGCTGAAACTGCTGTTTGCTGTTTATACTGGTTCCGCAAAGGTAAATGCATCGGTATACATTCAGCCATTTCAATCGCGCCCCACGAGACATCGGCGCACGCACAATTCGCTTTCGTATCGAGCCCACACAAACGTGTTCAAGAATTCGTTTTTTGCACGTGCAGTATCGGAATGGAATTCACTGCCTGAAGTGGTCTTCACATCTCAGTCTACTTGCCATTTTGAGCGTGTCATATTGTCTGTACTGTAGTCTGTACTCGACTTGCTTTACTGTTTATCGCAATTGTGAATGTGTAATAGGGAGATAGACCCATCTCCGTTGTTCTGAAGGTCGTATTAAACTGTGTTTAAGCTCATCTATATATCTCTGTATAATGTACTTATCTTCTTGTATTTTGTGCACATCATTCATCTATCACGCTTACGTGTGTTTTCCACTTAATTTTTGTGCCTCTCCTGCTTGGTCTTTTCAAGATCGCAGTTTGTTGTAAATAAAAAATAAAAATGGCAAGACCAATGAAAATGCCACATACACTTTTAAATGCGAAGTATTTCTTAGCGAACTTCAACGACTTTGAGCGTATCTATCTATCTATCTATCTATCTATCTAGACGCTAACGTTTGGATGCTCTCGTGGTCACCTCCTTAACTTGGCGTGAACCAAAATTAGCATGGACGCGTAACATGGTCTGACGAATATGACGCGCTGGTCAAGACATAAATAATGTCACAATCCAGTCGCGTACGTCGTCAAACTCTTCTCTTCAGACAGTGGCACATACCCACGGGCGGGTATGTGCCGCTGGTATGCGGGTATGTGCCACTGGTGATTGACACTTAGTGTCTACCCAGGAACGACGAGAACACACATGGTCAATTTTAACAGGTGAGCATTTCGAAATACCCGACATCGGTAACGTTGAGTCGAGGAATGCAAAGAATAAATGTCAGGGTTCCAGCTGGAATCGAACCCAAGCATTCTGCGTGGCAATGAAGCATTTTACCACAGAGCTACCAGGTTTGGGAACTACTTTTCAAATAGATCGCTAATCTTCGTGAAACGTCTATAGCGGTTGCAGTTCTGCCTTACCCAATTTTATAAACATTACTTATGTACTCCTTTCATACAGCCGTCACGTCGGGTTGACGTCAATTAGTGGTTAGTTGCCATGCGCTGAAGTTGATTTATGTAGCAGTCTCCAGGACGAGCATCTTCGCGAGTATCCGCGCTTCATATCAGCTTCTGGTGTTGCTAACTACGCATGTTCCAGTTGGCATCGTTGTGCAAGTGCAAACAGCTGGTTATATCAACATTTTCAACTCTTCAACGTATGTCTGTGTGTGCAACAATAGTACATATATTTAGCGCCATTTCGTAACGTGTCGCTCAACAAAAAATTGCAACACGGTCACTTTCCCTGCGCATGCTTCGCATAACGTCGACTCTCAGGTACGTGAGATCTGCCGAATTTTGTACAGACCCAATTCAGTCGGGTGATACTTTGGAGTGCAGACCGCTTCATGTCTCGCCTCTTCTATGCTTCGTTCACCTGCAGCTAGACATGCGCGGCGCAGCTGCTGCACCACCACGTGAAACGAGCTCGCTGGCCTCCTGACCATTTTTCGAAGACATCACACATGTTTTGAGTCGTAGTGCGGATTTACGTCGAAAGCGCACTTCGTCATTGTATAATTTCTTGGAAGCAGTCTACTTCTGTTTACCCCTCATTGCTCTTACCGTCCCTCGCTCGCGAACACGATTATCTTTCTGCTCGTAAGCACTGGAAGCCGCAAGCGAGCGGTTCCCGAGAGACGCTCAAGCTGCTGCCATCGACAAACAAAATCAAACTTAGTAGGACCATGGTGCCATGTCACAGTCGCTTGAAACGAGTTTTACAGCAGAGCCTTGGAATATGTCGTAAACCTGGACGACGCAGCTCGGCGTCAATGGCGGCGCAAAATGGGATCCTTTCTCCTCTTCCGGACCAGGGGAAGTTGAAAAGGGGACTGCTCCGAGGGAAAGGGCTCCCCTCACGACCCCCGGCCGCGAGAGGAGTGCCAGCAGTTGCTGTCCGTGCCTGGCGCCGACGCTAGCAGCCGTATCAGCAGCCAGCAGCAGTGGGGGAGCCGGGCGGTGGTGCGACAGACCAAAAGCAGCAGGAGGCAAGGGGGGTTCTAGCTCAAGTCGTGGGTGCACCCCCCTCTTCCCCCATCCCCTCGGGTGCCGCAGGCAGCGTCCTTTTCAGTTTCTTTTCGGGGGGAAGAGCTAGCGAAGCGTACGGCCAGGGCACGCCGTAAGCTTTCGCTCTTCGCTGGCTCTTTTTGCTTGGGTCCGCGCTAGCTGGGTCGTCGCGTTCACGGCGGCAGCGGCGGCGTGTCCGCTCGCAGCAGACGCGCGGAGAGGGGAGCGTCGGTCCTTTTCCGAGAAAAACAGCGGCGCTACGCCGGCCTATCCGGCCTATCCGGCGGCGGCGAAAGGACCGACCCGCGAAGGCCGGCGGCGCCTGCTGCTGCAGCAAGCCTGACGTTGGGGCGTCTTCTCTGCCGCCCCTCGCTGCGACCCCCCTTCGCCGCTGCGGGGGCTGGCTTCTCTGCGCGTGACACTTTTTGCTTGCCGCGGTCGTAGGGGGGACTCCGGATCTTTGAACCAGCGACGGCGGCCGCTGCAACGCTCGGAGCGTCGTCGCCGCCGGACGGCAGCCGGGAGGGCTGCATTCGCCCCCCACCCCGCCACCCGGCCGCTCTTTCTGGCTGTTTGCTTGGCCGCGTGCGCGGACCAAGTTAGCGGCGCGCCATCAAGTAAACAGGCAGCGGGCAGACACCGCTGATGCTCGGCTTCGGCGTAATTAGGAGCAGGCCCTTCGAAGCGCGCGGCTGGCCCGTTTTTGTCTGGAATGTTTCTCGGGAACTTGGGTAGCGCCGCGCGATGTAGCGCGGCGTAAAACGTCGCTGGGAGGAATCTTGCTCGTTTTATTGTTCATTAGGTTTTTTTGTTATTCTCTCTTGGAAGGTGCGGTCCGGTCGCGGGGAAGGCCACGAGGGGGCTCGGAAAGCAAAAGAGGGTTGGAAGGTGGGTAGCGGAGGGGGGGGGGGGCGGAGCGCTCTGACGCTGGTCGGCGGGCACCGCCATCCCCAGGGGTGTGTTGGTTAGAGAGAGGGGGGGTGTTCACTGCTGCCGCTCCATCGGCGGCGGGGGTCAGTGTCTGTCTGTGCGGCGGGTGGCGAGAGCGCCAGCTTCGCTTTCCTTTGTCCAGTGCATGGACGCTGGCCGCGCTTGGCCGCTAGCGCTCAGCCGCCACCGAGGGTCGCTACTCAACGTCGCGCGCGCAACACGTACAGACGCACCGCAGCCGGCGAGCGCGATGGCTCCGGATTCTGTCGAAGCGTTTATATCCAGCGTCAAGAAGCATCCCATACTTTACGACTGCAAACGTCTCGGCTACCGGGATGTTGACAAAAAGAGGGAGATTTGGGAAATGGTCAAGCAAGAAACTGGCATGGAAACCGGTAAGTGACAAGTTCATCGTCGAGCATTTGCACCGCGACAACCGAGATCCGACTTGCTGTCGTCGCCGAGGTGCTTGCTTACATTTTTTTTTTTTTTTTCACCTACCGTTTATCGTGCATTGCACGGCCGAGGCTGTCAACTGGGAGTAAACATGACCGAATCATGTCGCTGGCTCTGCTGAACAAAGACTGCATGCATTTCACGTGACTGTCGGAAGCGCGCACTGTTTGAATGCTGCTTCACCCTTTTTTGTTTTCTGTTTTATCTGGGTTTGATTGGCGCTCGGAGATATCCGCGACATTTAAAACGGCAAGCCAACTTTGTAAACGAGAACACGACGACGATGAGCGCGATCAAGCCTTGAAAAGTGTTGTCGGCGGAATGATGCCTGAAAATTTGGGATATGGCTTGGGCCACCCTAAACGTGGCCCGCATATGTAGTGCCATATTTACCAAAGGAAACGTGGGACCAGCATCGCCATAAAGAAATGAGCATTCCGTGCCTTTTTAGCTGGACACAGCAGCTATAAAAGTGAAGCGCTCGTGTCCTTCTTGTCTCCGTGCCGTCGTTTTGTTCTCGCGCTATAACTATCGTCATGATATACCAACTAACCGCATAGGTAGCTGTTTCCGCAGCGATATCCGTGCTGTGCTCGCGGGTTGCTGCCTTGTTCTTTTTCAACTCCTCTTTTTGTTTTTTGCGGTTTATATAAAGTTTATTATTTAACCCTGCGGTTGTTTCTACGCATCGCAGTTGACGACTGCCAGCGCCTATGGAAATCACTCCGGGACCGGTACATACGTGAACTCAGGGCGTTGGAACATCCGAGCCAGCTACCGTGGGAAACACGCAAGAGCAAAGTGGGCCTACTTCAATTCGCTGGACTTCTACAAAGACTGCGGAAGAGCTGCAAGGTCAGTGCGTAGGTCAGTGCTTTTGAACTTTTTTTTTTATTTGTCGATATTATTCTCGATGTTTACTGCGCGCGCGCAACCCTCCCACTTGAGCGGCCGAGAGGAGTTTCACCGAGATAGTAGTGCGACTAGCAGCTCCCGATAATTAAAGTGGAACGCATAGGAGCATGAAACGATTCTCTGACTTACCCAAAAGATCACGCGCAGAGCGAATCCTTTCGATTATATTTCTGATTTGGGTTTCTTCAGCATGAAACGAAATTTTGATTGAGCATTTTTTGCAAACGCACCGCACCCCATTGGTTTAGTCGTTATGGTGCTCGACTGCTGACCTGAAGGTCGCGGGATCGAATCCCGGCCGCATTTCAACAGATGCGACATGCCAGAGGCCCGTGTGCTCCAATTTAGGCGCTAGTTAAAGAAAACACCTGTTGGTCGAAATTTACGGAGCCCTCCAGTACGGCCTCTCTCTTAATAAGATTGTGGTTATAGAATGTAAAACCACGGCAATTGTACGCGAAGTTTTCACTAACAGTTCTATCTTGATTTTTTTTTTCTCTTTTTTTTTTTTGCATTCCAGAGCCAAACAACCGCTGGGTATTGCAGACACGGGGTCTTTAGACCGCTACTCCAATGGAAGTGAGCCAGCTGTCATGGAAGACAGTTTTACACCCGAAGGCCCTCCTCCTGCTCATTCCCACTGCCCTAAAATGGTACTGGCCTCTCCACAGACAGCTCCCGAGGACTATGCCCCGCTAAGGCTGCACCAGAGTCCAGAGCCACCAGAAAAGAAACCCGTCCTTAACACCGAGTCGATGGACTCTTTTGAATCTGAGGTACTCGGTATCCTTAACCGTCCACTAGACGAAGATGAGTACTTTGCACTTTCCATTGTGCCTACCCTGAGGCGCCTTTCCTTAAAGAAGAAGGCCCTCGCCAAAGTCAAGATACTGCAAGACTTGGCACTGCTCTGAGTTCGGCGAATGACCACTGCCGAGCGATGCTCCATGTCTTGTTCTTCGCTCAAGTGCCATATTTACCAAAGGAAACGTGGGACCAGCATCGTCATAAAGAAATGAGCATTCCGTGCCTTTTTAGCTGGACACAGCAGCTATAGAAGTGAAGCATCAGAAATAATATCAGAGTCTGGTGGGCATCGAAACCAAGAGCAGAGAAATGCGGCACACCACTTCCTGAAGTGGCAAACACAATTGTCGCAACAGTCACCGCTCTTGGTTCATTTTCTGATGCACTGTGTCACTCAAGAACTTTTTGATCATCTAGGCCACACCAAGTTGCTGGCTATGACATTCAGGGATTTATTTTATTGTAGTCATAGAACAGCCCGACGAAGACTATGGAGAGTTTTGCCAGGTGCAAGACATCAAGTTTTGTTGCCGCGTCCCAAAGACAGTGATATTTTCCAACATGTGCCAAGGACACTCCACGAGTGCCATTTTGTGGAATCAATTCCACACTGTTGCTGTTTAGGTGCCAATGTCTGTTTGTATGTGTCATAATGAAAATGAGCTGTATATGCTGCCATGCGAATTCAGATCTCTGGAACATTAGAAAGAAGTTGCAAGTGCCTTTCAGTACTGTGCAAGTTCCATCCTTTTTTTTTTCCCTTTTTAGCAAAGCATTTGCAGTAATAAATGACCATTTTTGACAGTTGTGCATTTTTCTTTATTGCTATCACATTTTCTTTTCTCAATGTAGAAAAAAACAACTAATTAAATGTTCTTAACTGGCTTGTATTTTGAAAAAACTTCACTTAAAAAAAAAGTCAGAGAGTACTACAGTTTTATGAACAAAGCTGGGTCAATTGTTGCACAATCTACCTGTGAAACGTCAGATGATAAAACAAAATGAGTAAACAAGCTGAAAACAACAAAAATGGTAGGTATACTGCACATCAGTGCAGGCTTAATTAAGTGATAATGTTATATGTAGTGGTGCCCAACTGCATGGGCAATACGGACTAGCTGTGACCGCAGATGGAGAGAAGTCAAGTGGTTTCCAGCAACACTGCATTGCATGCACAAGTTCCTCTCCTGAGAATCGCGAACGTAGGTTGTCCATTCCGCTAGATGTGTCGTGGATCACAATTTTGGCTCCGGCTTGTGAACTGACACGTAAATCACGGTGCCTAGTGCGATGATGCCAGGAATTCCGAGTCCAACTGAGGTAACCGATAGCACTGTCGCAGAAATGCGCTCAAGGGGCCGCACTCCAAACCCACTTGACATGGCCCTGCACATAGAGACCAAGCCATGTTACTTGTTATATGTGGTAATGAACGAGCATAAGTAATGATGCCATTTTAGAGGCACACTATCCTCCACCACACTTAAAAAAAAAAAATGACATTAGGAGGAAAAGTTTTTAAAGCAGAAGTTACAAGCAAAAACAAATAGTCGCTGCAAGTACTCTTCAAGCGGACCTTGCCGCAATTACTCTTGGCTGTAAAATTTCAGCACTTTTTGGGGATTGACAGCTGAATGCAACACGTTTAAATGTACAGCAGGAGGTGCTGTATACAATAGCAAAACACACCTCTGCTGCTGGAATCTAGTATAGCCTTTGTCAAAAAGATGTGTACTCTATGCTTTCACCACACATGTTGTTTGGCTGTGTCTGCTACTGACATTGCACCTAGGTGAAGAGTAGATGATGTCAAGATGGAACATACACAACTTAACAATCAGGAAAATCCACGAATAGAAAATTCTTAGTAGGGTTCTACTGAATTTATTATTTTATAATGCCATGCCATGTTCTTTTTGACTAGTTATTTGGATCTTGCACTTACCTTAAATTGAAATTTCATTTTGTGTCATTAGTGCATCATAAATGTTTCTAGTTAACAAAATTTACACCATGTTCAAGGAAAAAAAAGTGCCACTTTCCATGCTCTGTTGAAAACCTAAGATGTTTCCAATACTTACAATGCATCCTAATGAGACCTTTTGAGGCCAGAGTGTCCAGTGAAGGCATCTTTGAATTTCATGTTTACTCACCAAGTAGCATAGCTGTTTTCCTGGTACCAGCCATCACCTTCTGAGCCAAAGGTCACAGTGACTGCTGAAGAGGCTACATTGGGTGCCCTGTTCGAGAGCCATGCTGTTGCCACATTGAAGTTCCACCAGCTTGCTGAGTAGGTGAGGTTTTGATATGCAGCATCGACTGATAGTGTCACTGTTCTTCCTGGGTCACGATAGCAGACTGGCTTCCAATGGAGATAAAAAGTGGATGAGGCATTTTTGTCAAATAGGGCCACGTTCTGCAATGTGATAAGAGTGAAACAATGAGAGAAAGCACAATTATTCAATTGTACCAAAAGCAGTTGAGCAGGTGCATGTTGGAATAAGCCAAACGCATGTTATAGTTAATAAAAGCAGCAGTGCAGTTGTAAGGCACCAGAATAAAGACACTGACTCCAATAGTTTATTCCTAGAATAATTCACTTGCTGTATGCCATGCATAAAGACCAGATTTTAGGCAGAAGCCTATTTTGTTCCTTGCACTTCTATCATACCACTTCGACATGCGAGCCCGAATTAGAGGTAAAGAAGAGCTTTTAGGGCTTTTACAGTGTTTTTATAGTGCCTTTAAATGCTTACTTTTGACGTTTGTGCCTATATGGTTGCAAATGCTTATTTGCAAAACTGGAGCTTGTATGAATACTATCTATTCTCAGTTCCGTTTCCAGCTGCAGTTCAAGACCTTTATTCATGCTACAGCGTAACATTGACTGTTGGGAAATATAGGGTCCAACCTATAGCAACTCCCAGAAACAATCGCCAGCAGCAGTGAATTGAAACACACCAGTGATGGGCAAATTTGACACCGCAAAGAGCCGCCAATGGAAAGGAGAGTGAAGAGCAAAAACAACGACAAATGTGACATGCACGCGAATTTCGTTTCATTTCTAATTTACTTTGTAAGGTGTTCGCCACAGTAAGGTAGTCGCAAATATTTTTTTAGAGGTTGGTGGGGAGGGGGTTCAACTATACTTTATGTATGTTTGTGCATGCTTTAGTTATGTGTGCATGTATATACACACATGTGAAAGTGAAAATTTTGGGAGAAGAAGTTTGTAACCTGCTTCCACCCCGCCTTCTCTCTGGCTACAACAATACTTCACTGCCAGGAGAAAAATTGGCTCTACATGACTCAATCCAACCAATAAGAGAAATCCCTCAATTCTGGTCTTTTAGGAACCTCGCTATCTGCCCCTGCACTGCCCTTCTCAAACATGCTGAAATGACACCTAGGAGTGTGTTGATTAAACTGTATGCAAACCGTGCGGCACAAAGCACAGTTCCATGTCCATTTTCAGGTGTTGACGCTTTGTACCTTCTTAAGCAGTAGTATTTTTTCTATTCATGTTACAGATAAAAGTAATGCTCGTCTTTTTTTTTAATTACAGTCAAACCTCACTATAACAAAGCTGCATCTTATACAAAGTAAGTGTGTTAAAACCGAAAATTTGTTATAAGGGGATATTCCTATTGCAAGACTATTCTTCATTCACTTCTAAATAACAGATATTTTGTTATATCTGAGCTCGTTATATCGAGGTGTGAATGTATTTACTTTGCGTTAAAATTTATTGTTCTTATTTTTATGAATTTGGAAGCCTAAAGCATTGTTTTTCTGCCTATTTATAACTCCAAAAACAAGCTTTTTAAACATCCAGTCTCTAGCCATGCACAATCGTGCCGCACCTGATTATCACACCACAGTGATTTATTCAAAAAGACCATTTCTTCGTTGAAGAGGTTGATAGCCAGAAAGCTTGCATAGCTTTGAACACTCAAACTGGTTACCTATGTTCCTATGACTTCAGTCACTATACAAAGAAAAGAAGCTGTACTCCTGGCAGCGAATGAATACATGGCGATATAATGTAACTTTTCTATTTAAGTAACACTCTGTTTAGCACACATTAAGATGTCCCATCTGCCTCTACAGTTCCTTCTACAAAACAATGACAACTTGTACTTCTGAGTGTATAGTGTGTTAAATTTAGTGTGTTCTGTTGGTAATAACTTCCTTATTGTGTATTTGTTCACTGGCACTCAAACATCTTCAAAGAGTAATATAATACTTGTTCAAGCAAATAGTATCTTCATGAGGAATCTTTTCTATTGTGAACGCCACATGGATAGCAAAGAGAAAGGAGCCTCAGATGAAGCAAAAGCAACTTACTGGCACACGTTTTCTCTGATGCAAATGCCATATGATAAAACAGACATGTCTGCTCATAAAGCAGACATGCAGAAGCGCCAGACACTTGCCTCATGCGCATGCATGTTGAAGAATCTATCCAACCACCACATACTTTGTTGAGATATCACTCACTGTACTACTCACTGGCATTACTCACTGTAAAGACGCCTGGTGTGTACTCATCATCAAAAGTTCTGATACTGCTGACACCGTAGGAGCCATTATGAGATGAGTCATCGAGAATGGTGAGCTCGAATCCAAATTGTGATGTTTTGCCTAGTTGCGGTGAAAGGTTGAGCAAAGAGAGCTGAATTTGGCTACTATTGCTTGTGTACAGGAGATGTGGAAACTGGATGTCATGGCCATTGTTGTCCTGAACTTCAAGCTGAAAAAAAAAAAAAACACCAGTACAGCAAGCCACTTAAAGCTAAGATTAGCTGCATTGCTTGTCATGCACTTCAACAACTAGGCAGCTAATGTTCCTACAGAAATAAAGTTAGTAAGAATTAAAAGCATGCTTTGCTATGATTTGGTTTATGACAAATGTGCAAGCTTTATTCTGGCTATGTGACTGGGCTGTGTAAAGTGCCAAGCTAAAGAAGGCCTCCACTGAAGGCACATTAAATTTTCTCAAGAATTTTTGACATTGTACGCATTTATAAAAGGTGTATGAAAAAATGACTAGGACGACAGCTTTTTCAAAAAGCATAATTAGTAATTAGCTGCAGAACAAACTAAACTCAATACTAAGCAAGCCATGAAACTCAAACTACACTTTATCGCCCATCATAATAAAGCCACGAGTGCCGTATTTCATTTCACACGTAATATAGTGCACGATATCAGTTATTGAAGGACCACTGCAGGGGTCAGAACTTACTAGATACAAACAGAGCTACAATACATGATGACCAGTTATAATGAAGGAAACGCAAGAAACAGCACATCAATGCTCTAAGCTTACAGTACAATTGGTACTACTAGGTTCGCAAAGAACCCAGTGCCGATATACCAGATGGAATGACATTCTTACCGTAAATTGAATGGTGCCATTGCCCAAGAAAAACCCTTCATCTTTATCCGAGCTGGTTCCGTAAGCAACAAACGTGGAAGTAACCAAGCTGCTTCCATTTCCAGTGCAGCCACGAATTTCTTTCCACAGGAGTTTGGTCTGGTCAATGTAGTGGGTGCCATTCTTCAGAGCGGTATTTAGATGAGCCTTGTTCTCTGGGTCATTGTACTCAAAAAGCTGAAATGAAAACCCAAGCTAATAAGAAAACCGAATTTCAGCAGGCTTGCATAAGCAAATGATTGCTCAGCAAACGGGCCTTTTGTTACATTCTCTATATGTGTACATACGTATAAAGACACTCATGGTTACATGTATTTTTAGTAGAGCTGTGCGAAAAGCAAAATTTTTGGTGCAAAGAGAATTCAAACATTAAAGTGCGAGTGCAAGTCCAATAGAATATTTTTTGAATATTGCTCAAACACTTCTAGAATATTTTTTGAATACCTTGAAGAGAAATTGCAGAAAAAAAGTTGGTGAGGATTTCTAAGTATATTTACATAAGATAGCAACATGAAAGTGTTTCTTTCAGCTACGTCAGTAGGGTGGTGTTTCATACTTGTCTTATCAGGAATGAGGCAAAGCAGAGGCCCAATTGTATTTATCTACATGGTTTAGTGCAGCCGAAGTGTTGCTGACAACACTTTACACATGAAAGTCAGACACTATTTCTTCAGCCTCTCCTACTATTTCAACTTCTGTGGAAGCCAAACTGATGTGGTGGACAGGGGTGTGCTCCTTTCGAGTCCAGAGTTCGAATTCAGCCTCTTAGACATCAATATATAAGAACATCTGAGATCTTAGATGCTAAAAATCTTTGACATCTGATTTTTTTTTGTCTTCCTGCCCAAAGTTCAGGTAAAAAACAGCATTAAACGAGCCCCCATTTTCGCTGCATCTTATGTTAGAACCAACATTTCTTTGAGTCAATACAATAGACCTCTACCGGGGTGCGTCACAGCGTGACGTCACCGGTGCACATGCGAGGCGGCGCTTGGCAAAAACACTCCAGTCGGTGACAGAGTGGGGTGCAGTCGCTCGGGACAAGTTTTCTTTTTCTCTTTGAAAGCTTAATCTTCATCTCACAGTGGCAACATTAGCTGTGGTATGTGTCAGAGAACATCTAGGTGTGTGGTAAAGTGCGCAATGAAATATTTGCCACGCTGGCTGGCTGTTTATCTCGGAGAAGTGAACACACGTGATGGCCTAAGCGAGAAACAGCGGCATCGTCTTCGAAAATGTGCAGTGTTGACAGTGGCGTGTAGTATGCATTGAAAGGCATTGACAATATTGGTTAACCTTTACGGAAGGTGAAACTGGGAATATTGTGCGTGGTGTGTGCAGTGTGAATAATGCGATGCGTCCTGTTTTCGAAAACACTGGTATTCGTTGTGGGCCTGTTGCAGTAACAGGTTGTCGATGAAACTTTACGATCTGACATTTTAGTGAAGATAAAAATGAATTTTACGCGATCATCTGCGAGTCGGTACATCTCAGCGTATGCGCGGCGTGCAGAAATATAAAAATGCATGATCTCCGGGTGATATATACGACTACGCATGAGCTATAAGCATGTTATAGCGTTGTCGATTCTGCATATACATTTCACCACGGCTATAACTCGTATTATCGGATACCTGATACGTGTTAATGCAAACAGCGGACATTTTTGTTTCGTATCTACTTTGTATTTTTACGGCTCGATTCTTATGATGTGACAATGCGCATTAGAAGTTTGTGTATCAGGCCTAAAGGAGCAATATACTATGTACGAAAACACGTTATAGGTGTCAAATGCAGCAAGGTAACTGCGCAAGATAATATGATTTGTAATATTAGTTGTCACGTTTTACATCACTTGAATTTTCACTTGGTTATTGAGAAATGCAGTGGCAGAATTTCACTTAAATTTTCACGAGGATACGCTCAGCTTAACGCACGGCAAGAAGTTTTTTTTTTTTTTTCATTCATCTCTGGTCAGACTTTTGCGCACTGAGTGACGTCGCGCACCGGCTCAAAACCATGCTGCCGCTAATGCTGTACCTCATTTAAAACTGCATTCACATGCCACGATGGAAATAGAATAAGTTTACATCCATGCCATGCAAATATTTCTCAAAGTGCCAGTCAGTGTACATTAAAAACGTTTGCTTTCGAAAAAGATCGGATTTTCATACGTGGGTGAAGTCCACTACGTGCAAGTTGCATCTCTCAGTACTCTAAATAAAGTTTCTCCATCCATTCATCAACGACCAAATATCCACACTATGAGCACTGACCCTTCCACTGCCCCCTTCTTTCAACAGCTGTAACTTTAGGACATAGAAATGTAGAAACTTCTGTCGAAGGAATGCAGACACGCAGCTTTGCTATGCAGAAAGATGCCACTGGCGAAACTTTCTTGCCAACCAGCACCTGCTTCGGGAGAGGGTATGGTGGGCCCGCAGTGACGTCACACTGTTTACAAACAGGGAGAGGTCTATTGCGACCGTAGTAAAGCCTGAAAGGCAGTTTTGCCGCTATACGAGAGTGTGATGGCATGAAGAATATCCAAAAAATCTGAAGGGGTCACTGCCAATCAGATAATATCGCCTTTTTGTAAAAAAGACCTCTCATTCCAGCATCAACTTTCATGATAGGTAAAGCAATAGTTTGCATCAAGGTCCAAAAAATAGTGCTCCGCTTAAATTTTAGAATTCAGCTTTCTTTGTCACTCCCGTCCAAATTGCTGATGCTACTTGTATTGTATAATAAGCTAGATGAAGGCCCTATTGTCTGCTATATGTCTTGGCTATATGTGTAACACTAGGACCCAACAAGTGACCCCACAATGCCGCTATCATTTTTCTTACTGGCTTGAAGTATAATTAGGATTAGCTCTGCTGAAGAACCATACGAGATCACATTGAGCACGGATTTTTCCGTCGAAAACAAGTCGCACTACGTCACGTGGTCTATATTTCCACATAGTTATAGCAAACAAGAATAATGTTTCTCAAAAGCATCAAAGAAAAGTTTGCATAAATTGATTTGCACAGTGTATGGAGATTCCCTTAATATCTCACACAGCATAAAAATAAATGTAAGTGCCAATAACTCTGTACATTACAAATATAAATGCTAATAAAAACAAGTTTATGCTGTAAGCCTCAGCACTCACTTTTGCTATCTCAAAGCAAGACAAGAGGGGGAGGACTCTGCAATGACATGCTCTCAATCAATTCTGCCAGCTTGCTGGTCTTGAATGCACCTAACTCGAAGGTTTACTGGGGTTTCTGTACCTTGCCCACACAGAAGCCAAGCTGTCGGAGCTAGACACTGAACTTCTAACCTCAGACTTACCACTATAATGCAACCGGTGGTAATACAATAAGTGTACAACTATTACTTACCTTTGAGATGACAACAGCTGATGAAGACAGCACAGGACCATCAAATGCGAAGGTTTTTTGGTTCAGGTAGTGCCCGCGTAGAGATTCCCATGAAATGTCGGCAAGTTTGGTGCCTGGTGCAGTTTGGATGGCAAGTGCAGCTGGTGTGCCCAGTGCAGACCAAAAATAGTGCAGGGTGTCATTTGAACCTTCGGCTGTGACGTAGCAGAGACCACAAACCTCTTTGTCTCCGCAGAATGGATTGAGATGAGCTGTGAGCTGAATTTAAAGAGCGTGCATATCATTAAAAAAATGCATTCTTTATAGAAGTATGAAAACAGCCAAAGTTTTGATCGATGCGGGGCTGAAAAATCAGCATTTGAATTAACATGCCAATTTTAACAAAATTTACCAGGAACTTTTGTCTCGTTGGCAATGAGAACACGTTTTAAATTTCATTACCCTAACACAAATGAGCAGATCACCTCTAGATAATTATTTTAAAAAAGATGAGATGATGAAATGCTTTTCTGCTAGTCAATATTATTACAGGACTACAGCAGCAATTCATAATTTCATGCCTTTTTCCCGGAGAACCATATCACTTGGAGAAGGTTGCAGGTACAGTAATCCAGAAAACTGCACTTTCTTTTTCCTCAAGCAACAATAAAAAAATTGAAAACATCCATAGACCCTTTCCATGCATATTTACAGCCTCAAAAAATTTTTACGTAATTTGCAAACTGGCCATAAAGTGCACACCGAGAAAAGTCAAGTTGAAGATTTTAAATCATGGCATTTCATTTTCTAGCCAACAGCTCAGCTCCAACTGCATAGGTTGGGGCCTCTCATTCAACTAGTCAACAGCTATTATGCTTCAAACTATCTCTTCTATCGTATTTTTATTTCTCTATGAAAGAGAGTTAATTCTTCTAGTCACTGTTTATGGAAATAAAGGGTCTGCCAGACAATGCCTGTTGGCTACCTTCTCCACTCAGAAGAAACATCTGAAGTTTCGCCTTCCTCATTACACGCTCTCATCAAGTAGCTGTACGCTTTCCCTCCAGCGGGAGCAAACCGAACGTTGCATATTTGACAATTCCATTTGGTATCATGGGCTAAACAAGATGGCCCACTTGATGCTTCCCTAATCAGCACTTGTCAAGTATGATGAGAGCCATGTGTAAGAGACTTTGGACACTCTGCAAGTTGATAGGCTTTCATCTCACAATCGTAGTAAGGCAAAAAAAGATTAACAATATTACAAAATTACCAAAAGGACACACTTACTAATCTGTTGATAAATTACATGTACTTTACTACTACTTGTTTACTGACAAGCTGTACTGCACTAGTTTATTGTGAAGAGTTACTACTACTGCGGTTTTACGTGCAAAAACCATGATATTATGAGACATACTGCAGTGACGGGCCCAGAAGACTTTGCCATCTGGCGCACCTAAACTTATACTGACATATAGCACAGCACGTAGGCCTTTGGCATTTCGAGTGCTGACATTGTGCAGTAGCTTGCTGTAGTTTAAATCAATCTCGAAAATAAAAAAATCTGCAATTTTACATGTCAAAATCACTTTGCGATGATGAAGGCAATCTTTTTGCAGTGTGCTTGGTCTCCTGCCCAGTCAATAAATTGTTACATGCTTGATCAATGTGCTACAGCGAATCAAGGTGGAAAAAAATGATGCAGGTAAGATTGAAAACTATGAATTTTTATGCCTCTCTCTAATTACCTCAGAGTTCTTACTTGAGTAAGTATACAATGGCAAATAACCAGAATAAATTCAGCCAATGAATGGACAGATATTTGTTGCTTAATAAAGGTGGTTATGCTAGAGCCCACGTTTTTTTTTTTTTTTTTATTGATTGGCTACTGCAAGGAAGAATGAACTTCATTAATAATAATAAAAAAAACAGCAAGCTTAGGCGGCTAGGCCTAGGCCTTCCACGAGGGGACGTCCAGGGCTTGCCTCGACGCTGCCTCACAGGCGTGCCGAGTTGCCCATGTTCGGTCATCGAGGGTAGAGCTCCACAGAGCCTCACGCGGCCTCGACGAGAAGGTCGTGGTGTTAATTGTGTGTGTACTGTATAGGGCGCTGTATGGGCGGGAATACATGTCAGGGAGACCATACTGTGTTTAGAGTGTGGTGCCTGGCAGAGGATGCGAAGCGCTTGGGGGGAGATGCGGCCTTTGCAAAAGTTAGTAACGGCAGAGCGAGGGTAATGCACGATTGTATGACAGGTGGGGTCTAGAGTGGCCAGGGCAATGCCCACTTCATCAGCAGTCTCTTCAATGTGCATTTGTTGTGGAAAAAAAATTGAAGGCAGGAACGACAACAACGCTACTCGAGGCAGTAGAGACACTCGTTGCGTGATGAAGGACTCCATCGCGTGTGGTAACAGCCACAAAACTTGTGCCAAGAGAGTATTGAGCTGGGTCAACGATCGTGGCACCAGGTACGTGGGTGAAGGCTTTTACGATAGCTGCAGCCTAAGCTTTGCTCCGGGCCCTGTCATACTCGGGATGAATGTTTTTAGAAATAGTATCTGTGTGGATCAAGCTATGGATGTCATTCGGAATCGACTGTTTCGGGCCCTGTTGCTGATAATTGAAGCCAAGTGTAGAGAGAATGGAGCATCCCGTTACAGTGAGGGTGAGCAGTTCAATCTGAGAGCGTTGCAAGGTGAAATTTTTAAGGGAACCTTGTCAACAATGGGAGGAGCACACTGTTGAGTTTAGCTTTAGCCATCAGCCTATCGAGTACGCACAATTCGCCTTTTGAATGAAGTCGCAAACCAATTCATATACGGACGCACAATCATAGCTTTCCCCCCGCCGCGATGGTATAGTGGCCAAGGTACTCGGCTGCTGACCCGCAGGTCGCGGGATCGAATCCCGGCTGCATTTTCGATGGAGGCGAAAATGCTGTAGGCCCGTGTGCTCAGATTTGGGTGCGCATTAAAGAACCCCAGGTGGTCGACATTTCCGGAGCCCTCCACTACAGCGTCTCTCATAATCATATGGTGGTTTTTGGGACGTCAAACCCCACATATCAATCATAGCTTTCCTACAGGCAGTCAACGTGCGGGCTTATCTACAAGCCAACACTTGCAGTTCGCTCAAGTACAATAAACTTACCTTTCGCTGATACGCTGCGCAAGCTGTCGCGAGCAGAGTAACGAATAAAACCTTCGCGATCATGACTATCACAACCTTACGGAGCCCTGCACAATACGCCCAGTCACGCGCCCGTCATTTGATACACTTGCCAGTGAAAGTTGCCGTCTCGAAATTCGGCCACGCCGATAACGCCTTCGGCCGATTGTAACTGTAGAAACGCGAGTCACGAGGTGTGTGTGTCACCTGTCGTAAGCGAGACCAACGACCAGCAGCTGGCGGGCTAAGGCTCGTGTAAAGTCCAGGGACTTTAGGCTCGTAGAGTTACCCGCGCATGCGCGAGCTTGGACCAAGGTGGGAGGAAAACAAATTCGCCAAATGATTATTCAACAATTTCAGGAATCACTGCGATCACTAGCCGTACTTAGTCCACAACTGTCTAGAACCATGCCTCAATGAGCTTTCGGTTTCGGTTAAACCGCAACCTTCTAGATTTCTTTTGCCTGCCGGATGAGCGCGAAATACCCGTCATCTATGGCGGCGCTACCTACGTGAAAAGTAAGGGTTTTTGTACTTGGCCTTTGAAACTGGCAGTTGTAACGTTTACTAGTTTCAGAGGCTATGTCTTGTATTGGATGGGTTGCCTGCCAAATGAGCGCAAAACGCCAGTCATCTATAACGGCGTCATTTACGTAGGGTTACTTATAAATAAGTTTACGCCTTTTTAAACTTTTTACGTTATTTTTGTTGCATATAGGCTTCAAAAACTTGAAAACGTGACGACACCTCTACTTAAGTAGCGCCACTACCATAGTTCTGACGACGGCCGCTTGTTCTGTGGGCCGCTTCTCAAGTGACCGCCGATAATCCGGCAGGCAAAAAAATCTAGGAGGCTGTGGTGAAACAAAAAAGTTATTTGTGGAAGCTAGGGTGGAAATATAAATACCTGGTGTGATGTGTGATGCCTCCCACTGTTGTATTAAGTGACGCAAAAAAGTTGTAGGCGCTCAGCAGTGGAGTCAGTTAGTACACCCTAACCTTAATGCGCGTTTGTTTGTTGTGCAAAAATTGAAGGCGGGAACGACAACAACGCCGCTCCATGCAGCAAACCTTGGCAGTCATACATCAGCTGCATCGAGATTCAAGCCATTGATCGAGCGGGTAACCACGGAGGTTTCAACTAACTACCCGAGGCGAGCGCACAGATAATTATTTGTTCTACCGGCCCTACAGACGTGTAGTTGTGTGCTCGGTTAATGTACTGAAAATAGTTTCTGTAAGTTCGTTCGCAGCCTACGTTGCGCTTACGCATAGATAACCCGAAACCGCCAAGTGCAGCGTTGCTGCGCGCGTCTCGCGTGCGTTTCAAAAGCATTGTGCTGCATTTGACACTCATTTTCCGTTGTTGTAAGGAGTGGCATACTCCACGTTTCTCATCTGATGGCTCATACCAAATGCACGGCATTAGCCGAGTAATAGGTAAATTGCCGTTGCTTAATTGTTGCGACTTACTTCTTCACTACTGTCGTCGTCATCATCTCAAATGCTTGCGTACTGTGCAACTACGGTATTACTAGTAATAATTTGTAAACGCTGCGTCGTATCTTCCATGTGTTTGTTCACATGCAGTGACACATTTTCGTGGCCAAAATATCGTGCTATGGAAGCGTCGGTGGCGAACACTGTGGCCAGCTACCGCGAAGACCGTGCCCCCTCGACGTCGGAAGACGACTCCGATGATGAGACGTCATGGAAACGACAGGCAACTGACAAGGCCAGGAATGCCGTGTCCAAGGCCGGGTACGATTTTTCCAAACGTGCCGCTTTAGCTGATGTACAGCAACAACAGTCGCTGCCGTTCAAGAAGAAAAAGGTAAATGTTTACCTACTCTGAAACGCGAGGTTACTTCCTTGCCTAATTTGTCCGTTGATTCGACTTTTGGCCAAACCATCATAATGGTAATAAAAAATTGATTAACTTCTTGCCTGGCGTGAACGTCTTCTGTATGCTATTAAGTTCACTTATAGATGTGTGCTTTGTAACTCCAGATATTGGTTTGCACATGCTGTGGTTAATGATTGAATACCAGTCGACACACAAGACTGGTGCGACAATGCTAGTGCATTGTTTTTGTTGTTTTTGCATCTACATTAGTTTATTTACTGCACAGTACCTCACAAGCATCCTGCTGCATGGTTTCCCTTTGTGTTTTAAGTTGTGCGATTTTCAGAGGTCATTAAATTTAGGTATCTCTAACCTCCTTGCTGTCACTGTTTTTGCTTCGGTCTCTTGCACTCTCGCATGCATAATTTCGCTGTGGATTGTGTGTAACTTAACACACTGAAGCATTCGTACCAAGTTCCAGTGTAACCTAATACAGCAAATCTGCATGTTTAAATCCTGTTTCCCTGTGTTCTGCTTTCCCACACAGGTAAACAATGTATGGGGTGCGGTAATCAATGAGCAGCTGCTCATGGAAGACCTGGGTCAAGTCTCTGTGGAGTCGTCTCGGATGGTCAACTGGAAAAACGATCGGCATTGTGAGAGCTACGACTTCACTCGAAAGCACCTTGACACACGGCCAGATCCCGTTGAGCCAGATGACCTATTTGATAAGGACGGCGTCACTGCACACGACGTTGTTGACATTCAAGACCTTGGTCCTCGCGGCCAGAAGCGATCAGTCAAGGACCGGCTGGGAGAGCGTGCCTGCACCCGGCCCTCGAGGTCACGGAGTCCTAAGATTCGTGGAGCTGGAAGGCCTCGGCGATCGAAGTCGAACAGCTCCAAGTCAAGCACATCCGAAGAGGATGATGAATCAGAAGCTGCAGTAGCGGCAGACATAGTAGCACGACTAGAAGAGACCAATGTGGAGCTTGTGGGTGAGTGGATTCACATTCTTGTGGGAGCCATCAGGGGTACATACATGAAAGTTTTCAATTGGCCTTTTTCTGTGCCAAATAAAACACCGAGCCCACAAGAGTTTACAGAATGCACTAGTAAGTGTGATTGCACCCCGAATAATTGATTACAATATGTTTCTAAAATCAAGTTTTAGCTTCTACTCTACCATGATGTCTAACATAGTATGAAAATCTCATCACATGCTCCCGCAAAATATCTCGATGTTTCCACAGCCGTTTCGCTTCATGGTTCCAGTGGTGACGCACAAGCAGCCATTTTGAATGTTTGGTACCTGACATGCCAAAACTGGTGCAAGATGTTACCAGAATTGTTACTCTAGCCTGGTAGTGTTGGTGTCAGTAGGTGCGCCGTGTGAAAATCAACCTTAATGTCAAAATAAAATACTTTTCTCAGCATTTAATGAGTTTCACACTTGACAAAGCTGTCCCTGTATACAGGATATTTGTATAGCAGAATAAACTTGGCTTTAAAAATTATAGGTGGTACCCTGATTTACTGTTTCTTTATTTACAAAGCTCATGCAGCTTAGATGACACTTGTTCTGTAAATGTTCTTCGGTCATTTAGTGCAACGTAAAAGCAAAAACAAGGTGGACAGTTTAGGCCTGTGGAGGTATGCAGAGCCATGCATGTCACGTGCTACCAGCTGTATTGATGCCTGCAATATTTCCTGCAAAACTACTTTTGCAGTGCTTCCTTTTGTTTTATGATAAATATTCATAATGGTAGCCTGCTGTAGCAATGGAAATTCTCTGATGTTTCAACGTTTCAGTAAAAAGTGCCAGGCTATACTATTGCATGAGTGTTTATGGTATGTGATTATAAAAATTTGTTGTTCATTAGAGCAGAGATGCAGTGTGAGTAAATTCTTTATTTCGCGTTATAAAAGGTCTACAAATTGAAACTGTTGCTACTCTGTTAATCCATTTTTTTAAGCAACATCAAACTTGCATTTCATCCTTGTGTATTTCTGGCTCACAAACACTTACTTGCGCATATTCTGAAACCGCATTTTACTACCGTGGCTTATTTATGATAGTGTATGTTTAATGTAATATATCATGTTGTTTTAGTTAGGCTAGCTTTTTAAAGATAGGTTCTAAGAAACTTTTGTGATTTCTCTTCTTTTTCAAAATCAAAGAACGGGTTGTACAAGTTCTTGGTGTTGCCCGGTCTCGCAAGCTGCTGTGCATGACAGAAGATGTTGAAGCGACAGGAGGTCTGCTGATAAGGGTAAGTATTGCTGTACACTTGCCCAATAATACGCATCAACTGTTTCAGGAAAACAACCTATCCTTGGGCTGTGTACGTGCGAATTCTTTGCAGAAGGTGGCTAACAATTTCAATGCTAGGGAAGTGCAAGACTTCAAGTAGTAAGAGAGTGATTCAGAACACTAAGGGGTCTGTGGGTGGTGGCTCAAAGGGGACTAGGCAGAGCAGGAATTTTCTGACAGGGTTCCATGCAACCCAGATTTTCTGGAAATGGCTAAAATAAGTCCGACCTCATGCCCCCCCCCCCCACCCCCACCCAGACCAATTTTTGAAACTTTTGAACCAGTTCTGATCTATAAAAATAACAGTACACTACATCTGCATTTCAGTGGCCCTCTGAGAAAAATATTCACCGACTGTTATGATCAGGGTTCGTAGCAGTCCTTGAAACCCTTGAAAACCCTTGAATTTCAAAATGGCATTTTAGAGGCCTTGAAAACCCTTAAATTTGTTTGAGGTCCTTAAAAGCCCTTGAATTTCGTCAATCGAAGCCATAATTTAGCAGATTTTTTTATTTGCTTGCCAGGCCACTATGTGCTCTCAAGCCAACGAACTATTCAATACAATCCATTTTTCTAGACATAGTGCAGTATTGTAGTGCAGTGTACTCTTCTAGTACATTGTAGTTGTGGTAGCGCTTGCGTGGTTACAGCAGCAACGAAGCTAAGCCTGGCTTTTTTGTGGAGGCTGTGCAAGTGTGCAGGGATATCCGCAGTCGCGTCGCTTGTGATGGAACTAGGCCCGGCAAGTGCAAATTCCAGCTGTCTCGGTCATGCATTGCTGCTTATAGGGAGTTGATTGCACTGGATATGTTAAACTCTCATCAGGCAGTCTTCCCATGTAGGAAGACCTTCGACGTGTCATCAATGGGGTAGTCTGATCTTAAGTCACATGAAGAGTATGAAACACGTTGAGAACACGAAAGTGACTCTACAGCCCATGGTAACTTAAGTGCATTCATGGTGCCAGCCATACAAATAAACGTACAAACTTTTGCACTGTAAAAAGTGGTGTTGTCATTTTCTGAGATTTCAAGTGTTATTTTTGGTCTTTGAAAAGTATTTGTTAGGTTCTTAAAAGTCCTTGAAAACCCTTGAATTTGTTTCACTTAGGTGCTATGAACCCTGATTGTTGTTCTCTAATGCAAAATTTGAGTGCAGCAGTATATATGTCTCCATTTTTCGATATGTTGGCTGGCACAGGCATTGTCTCATGTGAAATGTTGCAAATGGAGGGAAGTTTGGGGCAAACTCTTTGCTAATCTGGAGAGAGCGCAATTCTACGTTCGGTTCGATTCAGAGCACTCATCGCCGTCAAATATCCCACGCGATGTGTGCTACTGTGCCACCACCTTGTAGTCTCATACAGCATTCTGCTTTCTTCTTTTCCTTCCACGAACTTTTCATTTTTCGCTGTGTTCTCTGTGGTGTACACATATCCCGCAAGAGTATGGCCACTAGCGTGGGTTCTGTCTTGGAGAGCCACAGGGCCGTGTTCACCGTCACTTGGCGTGACTAACGCTGCTGCACCTGCACGTTCAGGCAGCTAAGGTGCCGAGCGCAGCGCAGTAAGTACACAGTACTGCTCTGAAACAATGCGCAACACTTTATTGCCTGCAGCAACACCAAAAACGCAGTAGAGCGCCGCTGCAAAAGGCAGCGAAAGGCAAAACAGGCTTATCCACATCACGAACGAAACTACAATACACAAGTGCCGCCAGCATGTCTTTGCAGGCAAAAAGGCTTGCAGTGGCACGACGCTGAAGAAAAATGGTCCCTCCCAACTATGCTGCATGCTCTCATAATCAGTAACAACAGGGCCCAATCGCTCGACCGAGGGCAAACTCCGCTTGCGTTGGATTCGAGAGGCACGGTTCGGCAAAGTAAGGCTATGCGCGAACACACTGCACCACTCTTCGGCCTAGCGTTTAGAAGGGGCAACAAAAGGTAAGCGTTCGCCGCGGGCACAAGGCATCGTTGGCAAAATTTTCGAGCAAGCTCCAAGAACAAAAAAGCTGGCAGGTGAGAAAGAAAAGGCTTGCTCACCGTTTACTATCCCGAGAGGTTCTCCGACTCCCGTCGCACTCGCGCGAAACGTCACGGGAGATTTGAGCGCAACGCCACAGTCGACGTCTGGTTACGGAAGAAAGAGGTTAACGCCACTCCCGCTCTCCTGGAACTGGTGGACCCCGGAGGAGGGGAGAGTAATGTTAGGTCATGAGAATAGCAGAAATAGGCAACAAAGCCTGCGCAATGGCGGCAGGCAAGCCTCAATTTCCACATCTCTCATGTACAATGGACGAGGCACGCAGATGTTCAATGAAGAAATGGCCAGCAATAGTATGAAGTTTTTACGAAAACTTAAAATACTTTTTTGTTATTATAGGTTGCTGTGCATTCTTCTGTTCTGGTGTGAGATCTAGGATGTGAGAAAGAAAGTCGGAAGTGAGATAGATAGTGAAGCATCACTTAGATTAGCGGACTGCTTCACTGTCCCAGTTTTCTATCCTTTTTTTCACTCTTCGAACCTTGTACAAAAGTAAGATAAACTGCTTCAACTCCACAGGCAAAACTTGTCCAAGAAACATTTATTGGTTTAATATGGGCATTTTCTGGCTCAAGAACAGGAAAGATCAAAACAACAAAATATAATATGCTCATTAACACGGTGATGGTTGCATACTCGGAAATCCCACTCCTGCGCAAAGTGCGCCAAACGAGATCTGCTGTGCCAACCTGATAAAATTGACGTAAACTGTGCCAAACCGTCTATCTCAGAGGTCCGCAACCTGTGGCCCGCAAGCCGCATGCGGCTCGCTGAGCAATTTTATGTGGCTCCCGGAACGACGTCAGAAATTTTGAAATCACTAGACACTGTGATTGTAGTAGTATTTAAATAACGTTAAATAATGTTTTAATTACTAGAGGCAGTGGTTGAGTCTGAGAGAATTTTTTACCTTCCTGGGAACAGGTTGTTGCCGCTTTGAAAAATTGGCCGCCAGTACTTCTGCGGAGCAATGCAATTCAACCTCATTTTGCGGCGGTACCACAACTGAATCACCGATAAACGCAACTATAGCAGAAGGCTAAAGATATGTCACTGTTCATGACGGTGATCGTAGTGTTGTTAGTTATTCTTTGGTTTACTCACGCCAACGCCATATATATGATATGTACTCTAATCGCAAATGAAACCCGGTTGCAAACGTAGCCCGGTTGCAGCTAAGAATAGCGCACTTACTCGCGTAATGAACACACTTTTTCTCGAAAAATCGAAGCAAAGTTGGGGGTGCATTTGTTATGCGGGCAGATATTATGAAAACTTTTTGGGGATGAGCAAAAAATGCAGTAATGCAATAAAAAAGTTAGTTCACTTAGCTTTTCGCATGCGTACACTGTTTGGAAACAAGTTCTTTGTTGCACCTTACTCATCTTCAGTGGTTGATGGCGCTATCTTCTGCAAGCTGTCCCCGCGCCGTCCGCGCACGCCATAAAAGCGTTTTGCAGCTATCTTTTCTCGCAGTAGTTTAGCCGCAGCAATATTATCTGCTGTGATCTCGAGGGGCGCCCAGATCCCCCACTTTGCCAACTTCACGGCAACTTCGCATGACCACGCCGTTGTCATTGAAGCAAGTACCCAACATTGCAGCAAGCTACCTTCGAAACATTAAAACAAACCGTCGATAACAAGGTTAATGACAAAATACAGCCGCCGCCTCACTTCCACATGAGAAATTCCTGTATGTGCAGCGAACAAGGGAAGCGAGAATAAGGTGTGCTACCATGTTGCGGAAATGGTCACGATCTTTTCTGGGTGACAAGCGTGTTTTTCTTTTTTTGGTTTTTCAAAAACCTGAGGCGTGATAGCGACGAATGACACTTTGCGAATCCCATCGTCGTCACTCGAAAATAGCATGCAGGTCGTTGGGTCTTAAAGTATTGTATTTGCAGAAAGCGATTGTCGGTCGGCGCGGGCAGATTCGTTACCTTCGCTCACTCTCGCTCGCTGTGTGCTTATCAGCTATGATGTCTCTACACTCACATTCGTGAACCCCGCTGTGGCACACAGATAAAGAAGACGGGGGACGTGCCGCACACAGATAGAAAGAAAAACAATATGGCATGCAGCAACGAGTGAAGGGGGGGAGGGAGTGAGCCGAGGGGGGTCGGCATAATAATAATAAAATAACGGAAGAGATTTAAAGGGTAAGTAGGCGCCAGGTGTCTGTTAGCAGGACTGCAGTGGATGGATGTAGGGGGTGCGTCTATTACGTGGGGGAAAAAAATCTAAATTTTGACGACTGAAGTTGGGAATGCATTTATTGTGCGAGTGTGCTCATTATGCGAGTAAATACGGTATTACACGTAGAAACAAAAGCAACATGCAACAAGCACGACATATTGTTTATTTTGTAAAATAAAAAGGGCAAGAGACTGCAAAAGGCCTCAAGTACCGGTTTGATAATCAGATTTTCGCGTTCCAAGGATATTACGCTGCCGTTGGAAGTTATAATCCCATACAACGACGATATCCAGGGCATCCAATCAAGCGCACACGCGTGTGCAATTGATTTCATGTTAAGAGCACCGCTGTCAAGCAGCGGCAGAGCCCACGTTCATTTCTCGCGCTGCTTCGTGTTAAGTAGAGCCTCATTATAACGAAGCAAAATATAACAAACTAATGGCTATAATGAAGCAATTACGATTCCCCTTGAAATTTTCATAGAGGCCCATGTATCTAAAACCTTAACAAGAAGGGAAGTCTGTGCTAGTTGGTGATGATTTTCGATAACTCACAGCGCAAGAAGGATGCAGACGAAGTATAGGACAACACGAGCGCCGACTCTCAACTAAAGATTTATTAAAGGAAAGGCACGAATATATACACAGGTTAGCCCACTTCGACTGAGCAACTACGCATGTGCAGCAGAGTCATTCACGTGATAGCACTTTTTCAGGACA